CGTCTAAGAGGGTCTCGGCGAGATGCGGACGATGTCCTGCTCCATCACGATCCCTATGGGAGTCGCGCAGCTGCATCTGCAACGCGAGGGTTTGATCGTTCCTACTTTGTGACCTAAGTTGCTCAGCCAGCTCTCTGTTGGCATCTACCAGCTGTGAAGGAGCTGGCGACGCGGTCCTGCTTTACTCTCTGGGGCGGTGCCAGCGACGGGGGTGGCTTGGCCACCGGCCTGATGCAGCCAGTGGCAATGCACTGGCCTCGTATGGAAGCCTGCCTTGGGCTGGCCTGCCGAACTCGAAGCAGCTGCTGGGCATGGCCAGAGTCGAAAACTGCTTTCTCCAAGCTTGGGCCTGTGTGCACTCCCTGTTCATTGCTGCAGTATAAGACTGTCAGGGGCCCACTTAGCCACGTACGCCGTATGGTTCATACCTCTGAACCCCATACGATTAACCTCCATGGACGGTGCCAGGGGTGCAGATGCCTTCGCCGCCGTCGAGGGCGCTGATGATGCTGCAGCTCTGGAAAGACATTCTGGGCCAGGATTTCGTTGCCTCGATGTGAGTTAAACTCACAGCTACATTGAACAATATTTCAGCACATATGACACAGCAGATGGCAGATGTCCTCCCGAAACAGTTTGCCTTGCACACCACATTGCCTCGAAACCGTTGTCGAGGGCATCCACATGGCATGCAATATGTAGCGGCTGTGCTCGACGAATTCCTCATGATCCACTATCTCGTCGAGTATGTGAGGATTAGACCCCACATGGTTGCGGTTCTGCAACTGTTCCTCCTTAAGCTGCTCCTCACGGCTTATACAGTATCAGTAGGATGAGTCATATCGAAAGACAGCTCCATCCATTTGTCTCGGCTGCGCTGCAGCATTCTGGCTGAGCTCTGGAGACCCTCTAAGAAGTTGAAGAAGGTGCCATGATCCCACGCAATGCGAATAGGTTGAACAGTCGAGTTATACTCGCAACCGTGAGTGAAGACATCCACCACCATACCGGGATTGTGGTTCGGATCCTTCAATGTCCCTGGTGGCATGACAAGCCCACCAGCTGAAATCGGACTCACTATCTGAGCCGCTGCAGTCGCTGCCTCCATCTCGTCTCGGACGGCCAGAAAGCATCTAATACTCGTCGCCAAAGGTACCCTCCTCAAGCCCAGAAGCAGTCGCAGCATAGGCGCTGAGTTGCATGGATTCATCATCCAAGCAAACGTCACCATGATCAGCTGCGGTTGTCGGCAATGCAGCCGCGTACGCATCATGTTCATGCCGTGGTGGCGCGCCCTGATCAGCATCGTCTTCATCCTCGTAACCAAACCATACTTAGGGACTGAATTCTGCTGTCGTGACACCCCGGGCTTATACCCTGGTCCTTGAAACTGCAACTTCTCCCGAAGAAGTCTTTCCGTCTGTGGACCACCAAGTGGCGCTGCACAGGCAGTCATGCATACTCATCGACGGTATGCGTCCGGGCGGCAGTCTTGATCATCAGTTGCTCTTGCCGGCTTAGTCGTGACAAGTCGACAAGTGTCGGGATCAAGCTTCTGTAAGGTGGACCACCAACACTTCCTACGCGCAATGTAAAATTGCATAGGCTCTCCCTGTTGCTTCGCAAGGGGTCCCGTTATCGGCTGCCCTTCGCAATACTGAAAGCGTCGCCTCTAAGGCCAAGTATCTTGCTCGCGCACTCCGGCATATCTATGTCGGAGGCATTCACTTCCGCCAAGGTGAGCACGAGCTCGGTATAGTTCGGTATATGCCCGGCCGTCGTCTTCGAGATCGCCATCTAGCTGGCTTGGATGACTGGGTATCGACTCGGCGCCGTCTTCTTCGTCATCAGTTGGCTAGGCGCCCGCCTGGCACTCGACGGGCTAGCGGGTATTTCGCTCGACTCAATGTCGGAGAGGTTGTCAATGCTTGCAGCATACTGCTGTGACCTGTGCCGGAAGCGTTGGAAAGCCTTGCCGGTCCACTTCCTCGGCGATTAGATCCTAGCAGCTGCTGCACTTCTCCTATCCTTCAACACTTGTGGTTTTGTTGCTTGTGCTGCAACACGCGTATCCGTG